GCCCGAAACTCCTAAACCCTCAACCCACTAGAAGCTCGGAAGGCGTGGTTCGGAGATATTCTAATATTGCTCTATGAGGACAAAAAGGGAGTACTTTTTTAAATTCTTCCGACCACTATAAGGGTAGTTCCCTAAATTAGAGTCCCCTTTTAGGTCACCCAAATTGCACGGAAACTCGTAAAAAAAGAACACTGTAAGGGACCCTAATTTAGGGAACTACCCATACAGAACCCTTATACAAACCCTTATAGATCCCCTATAAGGAACCGAAAATGGGACCCTAACTTAGAGAACTGCCCTATATTAGGATGCCGGTGGCGGGAGGAGGTCTTGGGCGGTGCTTGAGCGCGATGAAAGATGCAAGGGCTTAGGCTTTCGGATTTAGGGTTTGGGGTTTCGGATTTTGGTTTTCGGGTTTCGGATTTAGATTTTTGGGTTTCGTGTTTGGGGTTTGATTGGGGTTCAGGCTGTATGGTTTTGGTCAAAGGCTTGGGGTAGGTGTCTAGGGCCTAAGGTTTAGGCTACGGAAGATCACCGTCACAGAAACTACTGTGCTGACCTGTGTCTGAGTGTACTCTACTTTACAACTTGTTTGACATTGCGTTACTTCATACCTGCATGCCACTACACTCACACACAGTCCGCAAAGTCTTGTAAGCCTACCGACGATGCCTAACCGCTGATGCGGTTTAGAGGGCTATACCGGGCTGCAAAACACAGTGGACGGCTCGCACCTGTTTTGCCTGAACGTACGTTGCCCGAAAGACCAAAATTCCGATGCCCCTGGCCCCATACTCGCAGCCCGGCGGCCCGCATCTCTTTATGAATATTCCGGCCGATCACACAGTGGCTGATGCAGGTGTCGAAGCCTGTTCTGCCACGCTGAGCGCTGGATGCTTGAGCCCAAACCTCGAGGCCTAAACCCACCATCGAAAGCATGGTCTGATAGCAAAATGCATCATCTTCTTCATCTTCTTCATCATCATCACAGTGGCCGTGATCACCACCATCAACAGCATCAGCCTCATTTTGAGTTTGGGATTTTGCATTGCTTCATTCGGAGCTGTAGCTCTTTGGAGCCAAACGAACCTAGCGCTTCGTGCTAGTTGGGTTCGTCATGGTTGAAATGCTACATCAGTTCTTGCGAATCATGCCAAAAGAGTCTGCGCTGGCGCTGCCATGCATTGCAGGCCCAAGCCTCTCAATATGGCGTCTGCTAGACCCAAAAACCTGCATCTGCAACAAAATCCGACCACGATTCTCTGGCACACACTCGAAAGCCTGGGTTTACGGTTTAGTGTTTAGGGTGCCTGTTTGCAACATGCTACGTCGCGAGCGTCGATACCATCAGACTGAATCTTCCAAAGCGCACACGCAGGCAAGCCCCTAACGGAACAGAAGGGACATGAGGGTTTCAGGAAAGAAGACGCCCCAATGGTACCTCTGACTGAAGGACCACTGATTTACGACTCCCCCATCGAGGCCATCCGTCGAGTTGCAGAAGGGGTCACCCGTAAAGTGCTCCTTGCACTTATCCTCGCAGAGAAAGGTTTGGGGTTTAGGGTATAAGGGCTTCGAGTTTAGGGTCGAGGGCTCAGAGTTTACTTAAAGGATCATGGGACTTAGTAGCAGAGGTTATTATTAGGATAACTATACTTATGACTACTTACAAAACCCCGGCTAAGGTACTTATAACCATACTTACAAAGTCCCATGATCCTGTTAGTAGGGGGACGGGTTTTGAGTTTAGGGTTTCGGGTTGAAAGGCCCGTCAAGCCGAAAGCGTCAGTCCCCAAAGCCTAAAGCATCAATCCTTAAGACCTAAACCCTGAACCCTAAACCCTAAACCCTAAACCCTAAACCCTGAACCCTAAACCCTAAACCCAGATTCCAGCACGAAGCCTACCCAAACCCTTGTGAAGGAACCTCGACTGCACCACCCCGAAGCGTAAGCGTTTTGGTAGCCCTTACAGTATCCTTATAATCTAGTATCGCTTACAACCACACTATAGTAGCCCGTTTCGTATCCCTAACCCTTAAAGGAACCCGTCTGGAACTATTCGGAGGTGCCCTTACAGGAAACCTTGTACATCTCATGAGGTCCCGTTCAAGGAACTCGTATAAATTCCTTAGAAGGACTCCCCTAAAGGCACCACCCTAAAACCTAAACCCCACAATCCTTAAACGGACCCGCCAAGGGGACCCTACTCTAGAACCCTCTGGTAGCTTTTAATGTAAGGAGACACTATTCTCGAACCCTATGGTACCCTTTAAGGGGAGCCTTTTCTAGAACCCTATACCACCCTCTAAAAGGACCCTGTTCTAGAACCCTCCCGAAACCCGAAACCCAAAGCCCTAAGTACCCTGGTGGTACCCTTCAAAGGCAGCCGCGCCGACCTCGCAGGCTTCGAAGGTCGCCATCTCACAGGCTCTCGGCTCCCCCGGTGGCAGCTTGTGCTTGCCTCGGGTTTTTTTGTTTAAGCACCTTTTTCCACCTAGCACATTGTGGAAGGGGTTTAGGGTTTAGGGTCTTTTCGTTTGCACACCTTTTTCCGTCCAGTAATTCGTGCAGAGAGGGTTCAGGGTTTAGGGTTTAGGGACAGGGCGGCTTCAGGCCACGTTATGTTGCTATGAGGGCTTTGGGGTTTTGGGGTTTGCGTTTACGGGTTTACCTTACTATATGGGCTTCTACAAGGGATACCTTCCGAATTACTGCAAGGAATGCTATAAGGGTTACGAAAAGGGATGCCAGAAGGTCACTACAAGGTCTACCAGACGATACCACAAGATTAGTACCAGGGATACCAGAAGGTTACAGGTTACTGAAGCTCAGAAGGGCTACTATGAGGGATGCCATACCGTTACCATAAGAGTTACTATAAGGTCGACGGGTAGGTAGGTGGGTGGGTAGGTGGGTGGAGAGTGCATTTGCAGATATCCATGTGTGAACATGCATCCATTCGGTACTGTAACGTAAAGATTAACTATTTACTTCTCTATATCTAGTTGTACTTCTTGATTGAGTTTGTGTGAGTGCTGTGGTGTTTCGGATGGATTCGCGCACGGCGTACAGCAAGAAGCTGCGAGCTGCACGACTTCATGTCTTTGCGTGTACACTGTCTCGGGAATATAAGGTTCCATAGCAAGCTCCACCGCTCTTCGAGGCTCTGGAACCCTAAACCCTAAACCCTAAACTGAGTTTAGGGTTTAGGGTTTAGGGTTCAGGGTCTGGTGTGGGGTTGGAGTTTAGGGGTGGCTGATGAAGGGCCGGCGGGCGACTGCGGGCGACTAGCTAAGACTCTTCCGAAGCCCTAAACCCCAAACGCCCCGAGCCTCCCCTAAAGCTCTAAACAATGCCGAAGCCCTCAACAGCAACTGAAAGCTTTCAGAAACATTGTATGGGTGGAAGCCTAAACCCTAAACCCCAGCTCTGAACGGGTGGGGGCTGAAAGGCGTTACAGTCAGATCATCTCTGACAAGGCGCAAACGACAAAGTGCCTCTCGGCCTGAAGCAGGGAATGGGAGATGAGAGCAAACAATCATGAGAAGTCAGGGACCCAAAGCTGAGTTTAGGGACTTAGGGAGGTGCCTTGATAATTAGAAAAAAGGTCTTGGGGTATGTTCGAGAATACCTCTATCGGGAAACTAAGCGAAAAAAACACATATCGGTTGAGCTTCTGTATTACCCAGAAGCCCTGCTTTCACTCGTCTTGCCGGTTCGCTTCGGGCTGTTGCAGCTAAGGCTTATAGTCATTATGGTAGTGATCCGAACATTCCGGACTACTATAAAGATCCTAATAGATTTTATGGTCGTAGCTCCTGTGGACTCTATTGGGAGCCTTGAGGCCAAAGCGCACAAACCATAGCCTACACCAGGAAATTCAAACCCTTACAGGAGCATGATAGGAGCGGTTTTGCAGCCTTCTAGAATACCCTTAAACCCTTCCAGAAAACGTGTAAAGCACTTCTGGCAGCCTTGTAAACGCCTGGTTGAAGTTGAAACCTTGCAAGCACCTTTCAGTAGAAGCCTTACAGCTCCTAGCGCTCTTGTAGAACCCTTGTACAAACCTTGACAACCTTTAGCAAATGGGGGTTTCCGAAAATAGGCGACCCTAATATAGTACCCAAAATAATAATAGGGTCCTTATTGTAAGGACAACTAAATATGGTATTTTCAGAAACTCCCAAATCTTTCTAGAAATTTTATAACACTCCTATCGCCTTAGAGAACCCTAAACACGAAGCCCTCAACCCTCGGCCGGGCCCCATAAACTCCCCCAAACCCTAAAGCCTAAAGCCAAAACCCTAAAGCTTGAAGCCTAAACCCTAAACCCTAAACCCTAAAACCCTGAACCCTGAACCCTGAACCCTAAAACCCTGAACCCTAAACCTTCTAAGGCGTGGTCCCCCCAAATCGCAAATCGCGACCTCCTTCAGGGTCTCCTTCTCTTCGCCTGGAGCGGGTGCCGGCTCTTCACCCGGCGACGCCTCCCAGAAGCGGTTGGCGTCGGTGCTGGTTTAGGGTTTAGGGTTTAGGCTTGAAGGCTCTGGGCTGAGAACTTTGCTAGCTTTAGACGCAGGGTTTAGGTTTTTGAGTTTTGGGGCCAAGACCTAGGGTTTATTAGAGCTTAGGGTTTAGGGTGTTGAGCTTTGGGTTTAGGGCTTTGTCTGTCAGCAAACACGCTTGGACCCGTGGTATGCCATGAACCACGCGCCCCAACGCAATGTCCAGAATGCTGAGCCCCAGGAACAGTCACCCTCGACCAACTTGGGGTTTAGGGTTCAAAGAAGACCCAAAACAGCTCGGCCATAAGCGCGAAAAAGCCCGGATTACTCAAATCCAACCCCTGTTGCTCACTCTTCAGCGCTCTATCAGTGCCGATGGCGACACTGGAGAACGAAGCCCCGCACCAAAACCGAGCCGCAAGCCCCACCCCTGAAGCCCTGCAACCGCCGCCCAAAAAACACAGGAATCAAAAAAAACAAATTTTATCTCTAAGCCCCAAGTTCCCAACCCATAGTCAATCCCGCAAGGACCCTAAACCCTAATCCCTAACATTTAGAATAGGACTTCGGGGTACCTTATACTATAATTATCATAAGGAGCCCCTAAAAACCCTATTCGGATTATTAAGGCCCCTACGGTAATACAGCAAGGCCCCCCGGCGCCACCTTCACCTCGTCGAAACTGGAGCGAAGGAGGCCAAGGAAACTCGCACCTTCGCTCCATTCAGGCCCTCAGGGTTGGGGGTTAAGGGCTTAGGATTTTAGGGTTTGGGGTTTAGGGTTTAGGGTTTAGGGTTGAGGGTTAAGGGTTTGGGATTTTAGGGTTTGGGATTTAGGGCTCGGGCCTAGGGTTGAAGTTTTTTAATTGAGCTGAAGCTGAAGACCTGAAGTGCTGCAGCTGGGAGGGGAGGGGGGGTCACACGAGTAAGTAAGGTTGATGATGTAAATCCTGCATTACCCGTAATAAGAAATATACCATAATGCCCATAGTTTAGGGTCCTTTAAGGTAATGCAGGAGGCCTATCACGACCACACCTACCGCATTCAGCCGAAATTACTAAGCCTCCAGACCCGTTCATGCCTTTCGATTCCTGCACACATCTGGCCGCGGATGCAGAAGCAGAAGATTGAATTCAAGGCACTAAACCCTAAACCCTAAAACTCCAACCTCAAACCCTAAACCCTAAACCCCAAACCCTGAACCCTAAACCCTAAACCCGTAAACCCTAAACTTTAAACCCTTAAACCCTAAACTCCAACCTCAAACCCCAGACTGCAGAGCGTTGGCAGTTTGGGAATATCGGCTCCGCAGCCCAGTTCAGGAGAACTTCGAAGCTTCAGAAGCTAAGGAAGCCTCATGTAGGGTTTAGGGTTTAGGGCTTGGGGTTTAGGGTTTAAGGTTTAGGGTTTAGGGCATGAACACCCTGAATAGCAGGATCGTTAGATTCCATTCTGACCACCTCGACTCAAAAAGTCTCTGAGTTGTTTTTCAAGCCAGCAGCCTTTCGACAGATCTCGAACTCCATCAAAGAATACGGAACACGCACAACACAGCTTGAAAGTATGCTAAAAGGATGAAAAACCCCAAGATCAGTAAACACTTGCAACTCCTTGCAAAAATCCGAGAACACCCCCAGGATTCCCCTAAACCGCCAGACCCTAGACCCTAAACCCTAAACCCTAAAGCCTAATAAACCCCAAACCCTAAACCCTAAACCCTAAACCCTAAACCCTAAACCCTGAACCCTAAAGCCTAAACCCTAAACCCTCAGACCTCTAAACCGAAAAAGACTGCAGTCTCGACCAAGGCTGCCTCGTGCTGTCCCTCGTCGCTGCGAGCGGACCACCGGCCTTGCAACGGGATGGAAGATGCCCTGGGTTTAGGGTTTAGGGTTTAGGGTTTAGGGTTTAGGGTTTAGGGTTTAGGGTTTAGGGTTTAGGGTTTAGGGTTTAGGGTTTAGGGTGGTGATGGAAGATGCAGGCTGAGCAGCAGGACACTCAATAAAGGAGCATACACCTTCAATCTCATCAGGGTTCCCATTATATGTTGAAACACTTTCCTTAAATCGTAGCAGGAGGTGCAGGCGGGATGTAGCAGCACTAGCAGCAGCGCAGCAGCAGTAGCACCCAGGGTTTAGGGCTCTAGAAGTATACCCTTATGCTATGAATCCCTGTTTGCTTTAAGAACCTTAAACCCTTTCAAGTTCCTATACCCTTATGCTATGAACCCCTGTTTGCTTCAGTAAAAAGTACGTACTCTGACCTCTCTATCGGAGCTTTCGGGTTTTAGGGCCTGGGCTTCAGAGTCTAGACAGGGGGAGCTCGAACTGTAAGGCTTCCGGGCTTCCCTCAGCCAGTGCCATAAGCCCTAACCCTAAACCCTAAACTTAAACCCTAAACCCAAAGCCCTAAGCCCTTAACCCTAAGCCCCAAACCCGAAGCCCTAAACCCGAAGCCCTAAACTGGAACTGCTGGAACGACATCTCTTAACTAGAGAAGTCAAGACCCAGACTTCCAGCCCCAGCTCTCAGACTCAACCCTCAACCCCAAATCCTCTAGCCATGGGCCACTGATTATTGTTGGTTTAGGGTTTAGGGTTTAGGGTTTAGGGCTTAGGGTTTAGGGCTTCGGGTTTAGGGTTTAGGGTTGAGGGTTTAGGGTTTGGGGAGTTTGGGGAGTTTAGGGCTTCAGGGATCTGGGACAAAGAATGCGGACAAGAGTCGCTCCCAAGTAGGTGTCAAAGCCACTCCCGTCGCGCAGCCGCGACCTTGGCCTTGGGTGAGGGCTTTTCCAAAAAAAGGGCTTAGGGTTGTTTCGGGGTTTAGGGTTTAGGGCTTAGTGGTTTAAGGGTTTAGGGTTCAGGGTTTAGGGGTTTTGGGTTAGGGTTTAGGGCTTAGGGGTTTAAGGGTTTAGGGTTCAGAGTTTAGGGGTTTAGGGTTAGGGTTTAAGGGTTTGGGGTTTAAGGGTTTAGGGTTTAGGGGTCTAGAAACTGCTCGGCAAACTGAGAACGGATACCTCCCACATGGACCAGTGTAACTCTACAGGCCCAAAAGGGACTACTGCTCGCATTCCTGATGATAACTACTATTATTACTGTTGTTACTGTTTGTCTTACTTTTATTTCCACTACTGTTCCTGATTCTAACTATTCTTATTATTGATGTTACTGTTTTTCTTACTTTTATTTCCATTGCTGCTACTTACCAGTACCTTCTTATTATCATTATTATCATCCTTGTGGGTGGTGGGCTTGCAGTTTGGCAGTCAGTAGCTTCGTAGCTTCGGTCTCCGTCATCGATCAGGAGTGTTTCGGGTTTAGGGTTGAGGGTTTTTAGGGTTTTGGTTTAGGGTTTAGGGTTGAGGGTTTAGGGTTAGGGTTTAGGGTTTAGGGTCTGAGGGTTGGAGTGTCAGGAGTTCTCTCGGGGGCCAAGATTGCTCAACACTTGCGGTAAACAGCGATGATCAGAGCATGACATAGCTGAATACTGAGCTCGGCATAACAATGAGAATAGCCTTAGCAAATCATACCACTTGCGTTTACCCCTGTACCCAAAACCCCAGACAACCCCAAGCCCAGAAGCTACACAAGATCGATGTGCTCATGTAATCCATGTGAAAAGCCGTCGTTCGAATAAAACTGGGAATTGGCTAGGAAAAAGCTCACATGCAAATTGGTGTGGTCCTTGTCATCCGTGGGAGAGTATTCCTGCCTGGGTGTTCTGACCAAAAAGACCTCCAAAACCTTTAACTGCCCAAGAACCCCAAGCCCTAGACCGTCAACCGAAAAGAAGCCGCGAGCCACGAGAAACCATGTCAGAGCCACGCAGGTAAATTGCCGAAATCCGCCGCATCGCCGTAGGCATTCGCCAGTGCTGCAGCTGCTTTCATTGCGGAAAAGCAGGGGCCGCGCAGGATAACGCGAACTTCAGCCCTCGTATGTTGATTCCTCTTCTTCTGTCCTAATCCTGTTGATACTGTTGCGCGTGGTGTTGTGCATCTTTCTTGTGCTACTGGACTAAACGATATCGAACATTGACTTGCTCATGACAAGGGCTGCAGTGCAATTCTGCATCGTGCAGGGGCCCAGAAATGCTTCGAGGCTTGCCACATCGAGCACCGCGTCTCCGGATGTCCGAACGACGGAAGACCAAATGGCTGGGAATGTGGGTCGTTCCCTAATTTGGTGTCCTCTTTGTAAGGGTGCCGTAATTTAGAGAACTGCCCATATGTGAACTAAAGCATTCAAGATCCACGTGGCTGAACCTCTGTTGCCTCATCTTGGGCTTCCTGGGATGGTGGGTTTCAGTTCCGGTCTAGGATTTCGAGTTGAACTATGCCTAGCTCCTACCCCTCCTGACAGCACAGACGAACAGCCTCACATAAGGCACGCAACATTTACTGATTGGAAATCTCTTTCGTGCCCTTTCTATGTAAGCTGTAACCCCTGAAGACGATGACCTCAGCCCTGAAGATAACATCCGTGCTGCTGAAACCTTGATTGCCAGCTTTAAAGTGCCGCAGATATGCATTTGCTTTGCAGCTTTACTCTGTCGGTTCCTCCTCAGCTTTCGGGCTTAGGGCCTAGGGCTTGAAGCTTTTGGGGCAGCAGGCCCCATCCTAAACGTCCTAAACCCTAAACCCTAAACCCTAAACCCTAAACCCTAAACTGTTGTCCTGGAATTGAATCCCAAAACCCCCATCCTCGGAACCCGAAACCCCGAAACCCTCCCTGAACCCCTAAGCCAAAAACCCTCCCCTAAGCCAAAAAACCTCAACCCCAAACCCTCAACCCCTGAAACCCCAAACCCCTGAAACCCTAATCCCCTCAACCCCTAAACCCTAAACCCCTAAACCCCTAAACCCCCGAAACCCCTGAAGCCCCACATCCTCAAAACCCAGGGGGCACCTTGAACCTCGTTCGCCCTTCTACGGTCAGGGTCACCTCGGCAGGGTTGAGGGTCTAGGATTGAGGGTTTGGGGCTTTAGGGGTTTAGGGTTTAGGGGTTTAGGGTTTAGGGTTTAGGGTTGAGGGTTTAGGGCTTTAGGTGATTTAGGGTTTAGGGGTTTAGGGGTTTAGGGGTTTATGGGTTTAGGGTTTAGGGTGCAAAATTTCGAGCAACAGCACCAAAGCACTGAAATCTAGATCAGAAGCTTGGGGGGCACTCACTACCTTGAGTACGTCATGCAACCCTCACCTGCCACCTGCCCTCCAATATAAAGCGAAGACACCGTGCTACTACTTCTTGCTGGTGACAATAGAAACATGGGACGGGATCATCCGGGTATTACCACAAGGTATCAAAACATTGGCACATGAAGCTATCATCTTCACCTTGCCAGATACTGCTGTTGCTGCTATTTTCATGACTATAGCAACTGAACGAACCGCAAGACAACAACTCGGGTGTTTGTAGACTGTTTAGGTCTGGGGTTTACGGCGGTCGGATTTAGGATTTCAGGGTTTAGGGGTTTGGGGTTTGGAGCTTAAGGGTTTCAGGCTCTAGGGTCCACCGGCTCGGCGATTCCTTCCTTTCTCGTCAAGTCTCTTCTGCCCAAATCGCAAGCGGGGCAGTTGACGACTTAGATTCCGGGGTGTAGGGCTTAAGTCGTAAGGATTACCTGGACCCGCCTGGACCCTAGAGAAGCTACCGTCTTAGGGCTCCTTCTTACCATTTCGTTAGATAAGTCCTTAAAGAGGCGAGGCTTTAAGTCTTAAGGAATACGGTTTGGCTAAACCCTAAACCCTAAACCCTAAACCCTAAACCCTAAACCCTAAACCCTAAACCCTATTAAGGAATACGGTTTGGGATTTCGATACCCCGAAAGCGCCGGACTCTGAACCAAAACCCCGAAACCCGAAACCCAAAGCTCGAAGCCCGAAAGCCCTGAACTCGTCTAGGGTTTAGGGCTTTTGGGGTTTAGGGTTTGTAGGGTTTAGGGTTTAGGGTTCAGGGTTTTGGGTATAGGGTTTAGGGTTTGTAGGGTTTAGGGCTTATAGGGTTTAGGGTTTGTAGGGTTTAGGGTTTAGGGTTTAGGG